TTCGAACTCTGCTTAAACCGTATAGTGAATCGTTTAAGAATTTTAAGACACGATATTTTAAAGTGATAATAAGAGACGTCGGTCGGTCCAAATTTCATAACGCAGCGGGTCTCCCTTTGTTCTCTTTTTATTGGACAAGGGACCCTCGGAAAATAAACGCATGGGCGGTCGGTCGCATCACCCTAGAAGAGCTGGAGGTCGTGAGGATCATCAATACCCTACCCCGCCGCCTTATTGCCCGCAGATTTCTTAAGTGTCTTGGTCATGAGGATTTTGGCCAGATGGAGTTCGATATGGTGTTTTCCATGAACTTTTTTATTGTGCTAGCTAAATTTTTTTTTCTTTTCAGGCTACATGTCTCTGTCGGCGCCGCGCAAAACTAGTTTCAACTCCTCCCACAAACGTCAAGGGGAGAGAAGTTCCAAGGCTCGGGACCCCTGGACGGCTTCATCCAATTGCGCGTCAGCGTCCCTCAAGACTCGTTCGGTAGTTCCCCTTATGGAACAACTGACAGTGGTTGTTGTGCAACCCACTACGGTAGTCAACCTAGAGCCTTCTACCGGGACCGCTCTAACCGTCGTGGCTGTTCCTTCCTCATAGAAAAAGAGGAAATCGAAGGAAGGGGAGAAATCCTCTTCCAAGAGGAACCGTCGAGAGGGAAGCTCTCTGCATCCCATTCCCGCCAGTGGTTTTGATCCCGAGTTTCATGTGAGCTCTCGCATGAACTTTCACATGGGCCCCTCTCAGCGTGCGGTCGTTGAGTCTATGTTCGAGGGGGAGCTGATCAATGTCGCACTGGAGCTAACGGCCCAAGGGGCGATGTTGACTTGGTGTGCTCGCAAGCTTTCCAGTCGTAGGGGATCTCGCGATCTACAAGCTGAGCTGGACAAGGAGAAGAAGACTTCAGATGCTCTCCGGGTTCGAGTGGAAGCTTTAGCCATTGACCATGTTGGATGTGTTGAGAAGTGGGTCGGCCTACAAACGAAGCTAGATGACGCTCGTGTAGAGTTGAACAAAATCTATCATCAACTGAAGATCGCCCGAGCGAAGGCTGATCGATCAGCAGAAGAAGTTGGCAAGCTAAAAGTCGAAGTCAATAGGCTGGGAAGGAGGGAGGAGGAGTTGGCTGGTCAAAACGAAAACCTAACTACTAAGCTCCTCAAAGCGAACGAGACGATCTCCACGTTGAATTCGAACGTAATGATCGAGCATGAGGAAGGTTTTAACAAGGCGATGCGCCAAGCGGCCTTCCTCTTGAACGTGGATCCTCTGGCCTTTGGCTTCGATATTCATCAAGATGTGTTCGATGGGAAGATGCTTCCAATAGATGAGGTCGATGACGAGGAGGCGGGGGCGGACGAACCCGCGTAAGTCGACAACGTTGCTCCTGAAGATCCATTGGTGGAGGATCAGGCTGGGGAGGACGAGTAGACGGCCTACCGGTCGGGGGAGGGGGATATTTTGTTGATTTTTTGTTGTGAGGCCAAACGTGAAAACACTTAGGCTTGTTAGGTGTTTTCGTATCGGCCTCTTAATACCATTCACTATAAACGGCTTCTTCCTTTTAATTATATGAAAGATATTTTGCTTAAGTATTATCTTGATTTAGTTTTTTATTTGCCGGATAACCTAAGCGTAGCTTATAATCCGCGACTCGTTCAATGAATTGTTTTTAAGTGTAATTATGTCGTGCCGTGCGGTAATGATTTTAGTGATGCCAAGTTGACAACAATTCCTTTTGTGGAACTCCATTCATCAACTTGGATTTCTTCTTACCAAGCGGTAGGGATTAGCGTTCACCGCTCGTCCAAGTTGACAATAGTTCATTTTCGGAACTCCATTTATCCACTTGGATTTCTTCATACTGAGGGACAGGGATTATCGTTCACCGCTCGACCAAGTTGACGTTCATTTTCAGAACTCTGTTCATCAACTTGGATTTCTTCATACCAAGTGCCAGGGATTACCGTTCACCGCTTCACCAAGTTGACAGCAGTTCATTTTCGGGACTCTGTTCATCAACTTGGATTTCTTCATACCGAGCGGTAGGGATTATTGTTCATCGCTCGACCAAGTTGACAACAGTTCGTTTTTTGAACTCCGTTAATCAACTTGGATTTCTTCATACCGAGCGACAGGGATTACCGTTTACTGCTCGACCAAGTTGACAACAATTCATTTTTGAATCATTTTTGAAACTCTGTTCATAAACTTGGTTTTTATTCTTTCATTCGTTCTTCATTGGCAATATTACAAAAATTTGATCGAGGATAAGGGTCCTGAATATTGTATTAATCATTGAAAAAAAGAGTACAACAATTGATCATTTAACTAAAATAAAATTTTAAATGAGTGGCGTTCCAAGTATTCGGGATTTGGCGTCCGTCCGGATGCGCGAGTCTATACGCCACCTTACCCAGGGCTTCTGAAATTCGAAAAGGCCCCTCCCACTTAGCATCGAACTTGTCGTGTGAGGCCGTCCAGCGGGCTTCATTACTTTTCCTCCATACCAGGTCACCTTCTTGGAAATTTCTAGGCCAGACTTTAGAGTTGTACTTCCTTTCCACCATCCGCTTGCATGCTTCTGCTCTTAACGCCACCTGACCTCGACACTCTTCTAGGGTATCGAGTTCCATCCTCAACTCTCCATGATTCAGATGAATATCCTCCACCTGGCGCCGTAGATATGGCTCTCTTAACTCGATCGGCAACATGACATCAGTACATTACGTCAAGTTAAAGGGCGTCTCTCCGGTTTTTTCGTGCGGGGTACATCTATAAGCCCACAGGACTTCTGGGAGCTCGTCTACCCACACTCCTTTCTTTTCTCCAAAACGTTTTTTCAACTCGGCCACTATTGTTTTGTTCATGGCCTCTACTTGACCGTTCGTCTGAGGGTGCTGCACAGAACTAGTCACGTGTTTGATTCCCAAGCCTTTGTAAAACTCACCCAATTTTTTATCAATGCATTGTCGTCCATTGTCTGTAATGATCGTGCGGAAAAGATAGAATCGGAAGATCAGTTTCCAATAGAACTTCTGAACCTGCGATGCCGTTATGGTTGCTAAGGCTTCAGCTTTCACCCACTTGGTAAAGTAATCAATCAGAACGAGGAGAAACTTCTTTTGTGCTTGGCCTGTGGGGAACGGGCCGACAATGTTCATTCCCCAGTGAGCGAACCGCCAGGGCGACAACATTGTTTGCAGGGAGTGCGGAGGTGTATTGTGATATTGGCGTGGGCCTGACAGCTGATGCATTTCTGAACGAATGTCTTGGTGTCTCCCTCCATGGACGGCCAGTAGTATTCGACTCTTAGCACCCGGGCTGTCAAGGCTCATCGACCGGTATGAAATCCGCAAATGCCATTGTGAAGTTCGTCCATGACGTACTTTCCCTCTTCCTTGGCGAGGCATTTGAGGAGGGGGTGGAGAACCCTCTCCGGTACAGGTCATCCCCCACTACCAAGTAGCGGGCAATCTTCTTAGTGTCGATCGATCGCAGTGATCTACCCGCGTCTTGTTGGCTCATTAACGTTCGGACTTCCGTTCTCCAATCCCCGACTTCACCCCTTGCCACGGTCAGACACTCTACTGATGTTTGCAGTAGCACCTGGCGGGTGATTGTAGTTAACTGACCTTTCTCTTTCCCGGAGCTTACCTTGACAACATGTCCGCTCGGGTGTTATCCTTGCGGGAGATGTGTCGAATTTTGACCTTTTCAAATTCTTTTGTCAAGGATGTTGCTTTTTGGAAATACCGAAGGGGATGTTCCTCCTTCACCTGGAATTCTCCGTTCATTTGGCCTACAACAAGTTGAGAATTCGTCCGGCGCAAGACTTTTCGTGCCCCCATATCCCTCGTCAGCTCCAATCCGGCCACCAGAGCTTCGTACTTTGCTTGATTATTGGAATTTTTGAACTTGAAGACCAAAGAATGCTCCAATAGGAAACCGATCAGCCCTTCCAAGACCACCCCTGCTGCACTTACAGATCGTCCGAACGTCCCATCCACGTACAGATTCCACTAATCGCTGACCGCTGGTGGCAATTCTGCTACAAAATCAGCTAGGTGTTGGTCCTTCACCGACCCCCTAGGTTCGTACCGCAATCCGAACTCTGACACCTCCATCGCCCAACCTACCATTCCGCCTGCCAAGTCAGGCTTCCTTAAGATCTTGGAGATGGGGAAATCCGTTCGGACTAGGATCTGGTGGCTCTAGAAATATGGTCGGAGTCTCCTAGATGCATTCAGCAAAGCTAGGACCACCTTTTCCACTTGTTGGTATCGCGTTTCTGTATCCTGCAGGGTCCGGTTCATGAAGTACACAAGCTTAGGCTCGGGTTTTTCCTGAAGTGGGGCGACGCTGACCGCCGTTTCCGAGACCCCTAGATAAATCTGTAAGTCCTCCCCCAGTGATGGTCGGTTCATAACTGGTGGGTTCATCAAGATTGCCTTGACGTCTTGGAATGTCGTCTCACATTTAGTGTCCCATATGTCACTTGATCCCTTTTTCATCTTTTTTAGGACTGGACACACCCGTTCGGCCAGCCTGGGGATGAACCGTGATAATGCGATGAGTCGTCCGACTAGTCTTTGGATTTCCTTCATGGTGGTTGGGCTTTGCATTTCTAATACGACTGCACACTTGTCCTGGTTTGCCTCGATTCCCTTGGCGATAAGCATGAATCCAAGGAATTTTCCGGCCGCTACCCCGAAAGTGCATTTTGTGGGATTCAATCTCATCCCATACTTGCTGACCTGTTTGAAGACCTCTTCCAGGTTTCTAACATGGTGTCGTTCGTCTGATGAGCGGAGGACCATGTCGTCCATGTATACCTCCATGCACCGGCCGATCTGCTCAGAGAAGATCCTGTCCATCAAGCGTTGGTATGTGGCCCCGACATTCTTTAAGTCGAAGCGCATGACTTTGTAGCAAAAATTTGCTTTATCAGTGATGAAGGCCGTCTTCTCCCAGTCGGGCGCATGCATAGGGATCTGGTTCTATCCGGAGTATGCGTCCAAGAAACTCAACATTTTGTGGCCCGAGGCTCCGTCAACTAACGCGTCGATGCTAGGTAAAGGGTGGGAATCCTTGGGACATACTTTGTTCAAGTTAGTGTAGTCGGTACACATGTGCCACTTTCCACTGGTTTTTTTTACCATAACCACATTGGCGAGCCATGTGGTATATGTCACCTCCCTAATGAATCTTGCCTCCTTCAACTTCCTCACTTCCTCCTCCACGACCTTCCTCTTCTCTTTCCTTACTCGCCGCTTCTTCTGGGCTATTGGTCGCGCTTCCTTAAACCACGCCAATTTGTGTGACATGACCGAGGGATAGATTCCTGGCATGTCGACAGCCGTCCANTCCTGGTTTGCCTCGATTCCCTTGGCGATAAGCATGAATCCAAGGAATTTTCCGGCCGCTACCCCGAAAGTGCATTTTGTGGGATTCAATCTCATCCCATACTTGCTGACCTGTTTGAAGACCTCTTCCAGGTTTCTAACATGGTGTCGTTCGTCTGATGAGCGGAGGACCATGTCGTCCATGTATACCTCCATGCACCGGCCGATCTGCTCAGAGAAGATCCTGTCCATCAAGCGTTGGTATGTGGCCCCGACATTCTTTAAGTCGAAGCGCATGACTTTGTAGCAAAAATTTGCTTTATCAGTGATGAAGGCCGTCTTCTCCCAGTCGGGCGCATGCATAGGGATCTGGTTCTATCCGGAGTATGCGTCCAAGAAACTCAACATTTTGTGGCCCGAGGCTCCGTCAACTAACGCGTCGATGCTAGGTAAAGGGTGGGAATCCTTGGGACATACTTTGTTCAAGTTAGTGTAGTCGGTACACATGTGCCACTTTCCACTGGTTTTTTTTACCATAACCACATTGGCGAGCCATGTGGTATATGTCACCTCCCTAATGAATCTTGCCTCCTTCAACTTCCTCACTTCCTCCTCCACGACCTTCCTCTTCTCTTTCCTTACTCGCCGCTTCTTCTGGGCTATTGGTCGCGCTTCCTTAAACCACGCCAATTTGTGTGACATGACCGAGGGATAGATTCCTGGCATGTCGACAGCCGTCCAGGCGAAAAAGTCTCTGTTTCGCCATAGGACGGACCTGATTTCTCCTTCCAGCCCTGGTTCCAGCCCACGAACCATAGTTGTGTCTCCCCCAACGACTCCAATCAGTCCTCGGTATTTGTTCGTGGGTCAAGGTCTGTCATGGCCACTTCCAACCCACTTGTTCTTCTCCGAACCGTCCGACTATGGAGCTTTAGGTCGGCCGCGTAACATTCTTTCGCTGTCCTCTGATCCGCTCAGACTGTGCAAATTGTGCCCCTGTCATAGGGTACTTTAGAGAAAGGTGTGGTGTTGACACGATTGCCTTGAAGGCATTCAGACACGGTCGGCCCAGGAGCACATTGAAGGAGGTGTTAACTTCCACCAACAGATATCTAACCCTCCTATCCTCACTATCCTGACCGGTTTCCAGACGAGTATGCAGATCGACGTAGCCTCGAGTATCTACCCTTTCACCTGCGAAACCCACTATCTGCTCGTTGTACGAGACGATTAGGTCGTTCGAGATATCCATCTTTTGGAAAGTTTTCTAGTAAAGCATGTTCACCGAGCTCCCCTAGTCGATCAATACTTTGCTGACGCTATAGCAGGCGATTTCTGTCGTAATTACCATTGGATTGTCCTGGTCGGGATTCGGCACATGAAAATCGTCATCCGTGAAGGTGATGGACGACATGGTTCTCCGTTTCTTATCCACTGCATGAATGGACCGCAAGGCCCGCACGTGACGTTTTCAGGCGGACGATGAGGACCCTCCTCCCGCGAATCCTCCGGATATCGTGTTGATGTGTCCCCGTGGGGGGTGGTCGTGGCTCCTACTGCGGCTTCGACTTCGCCGCCTTTCGGACCGTGAGTAGTTTGCCCGACCATCTCTCGATATTTCATGTCTCTCCTGCCTTCGTGGACTCGTTTGTCAGGGACTCCGCGGTCGCTGTAGTGGTGCCTCGGTACGGTCAATCTTTACATATTTCTTTAGTTGTCCAACTCGGATCAACTCTTCAATCTTGTCCTTCACGCACTCCTTCGTAGTGTGGCCCATGGTCTTGTGATATAAACAGTGTTTGTTTCCATCTGCCCCGGGCAGTGTGGGTCGTCTCTTTGGTTCCCAGATTAAATCAACGCTCAACTCCTCTTGAAATATTCTTGCCCGAGGGGCGTTCAACGGGGTATACTGCTGAAATCTCGGTCCCTTAGGTGGCTCTCTCTGCTTGAACCCTTCAGGCTTCCCGTATTGATCGTCCGACTTCTTCTCGTCGGTCCTATCTCCCTTACTCTCCGGACCCTCCTTCTTATATGACTGCTTCATTTCTTCTTCCATTATTTCATCAGCTGCCCTCTCTCGTAGTTCTTCCATGATTTTAGGAGCTCGTTGGCAAACACTATCTTTGAAAGGTCCAAGCTTGAGGCAGGCAAAAAGTATTAGAGGGCGAGTTCCGGGCTTAAACCCTTTACCCGTCGTACGGTCTTCTAGTAGCGATCCATGAACCCTTTTAAAGTTTCTTCCTTCCCTTGGCTTAGGTTGACCAACTCGATTGAACATGTGTTGAGTGCTACTACTTGCAAACTGACGGTTGAACATGTGTTGCAGTCCCGCAAAGTTCTCGATGGCGTTCGGAGGAAGTGAATTGAACCATTCCAACGCCTCTCCTTCCAGCGAAAGGGAAAACGCTCGGCACCAGATGGCGTCATTGCCTGTGCGGAATGCCATTGTGTTGGTAAAGGTCTTAATGTGGGCTTCTGGGTCTATTGTCCCATCGTATATCTTAAATTGGGGCGGGACGAACTGCTCTGATATGTGGACATCCATGATCGCCTGGACGAACGGAAGTAGGGTGGATGAGCTCTTGGTTTTTACTACCAATTGCTTGTTCACGGTGGCGCTCTCAGCATGGACGAACTTAGCCTTACTCTCTTCGACTTCCAGTTCCGTCGGTTTCCATGTTTCGTCCGGTGTAACCCTACGGTCGGTTTTGTCTTTCAGAGTGGCTTTGCCGTGCTCCCTAAGGTGTTGTTCTCCCTCCTTCTCTCCTGCCCCCGATTTCTTCTCTTGGGTGATTCGAGCCAAGCATTCGGTCGTACTACTATGAGTTCCTCTTCATGGCGTTGTTACATCTCCTCCATCTTTTGTTGCAACATCTGGATCATCTCTAATAGGTCGTCCGCGCTCATGTTTCTCGTGATCACCATTGGGTTTATCAAGCAACTCGGACCCACGGTGGGTTTATCAAGCAACTCCTTCTCACCTTCACAATTTGTCCTTCCTCACCGTCTGGTCTGGCTCCTTGGGTCTCTAGTCCGCTAGTCCGGTCGGTGTGTACCTGTTAAAGATACTCTGATGCCAAAGTCAGTAATTGAACCGTCCGTTATCTAATACGACAATGACAGTAATAAATGCACAATAGTTTCCCCTACCTACCTGTTAGCTTTGACTTACATTTATAGTTTTCGAGCATGGGTCTAGGATTAGCGATGTTTTAATCTCGGCCCAATCCTGGTCCAGTACCCTTAAACGTGATTTACCTTAATCTCCTTAACATTAATCATTTACGCTTATGAGGCCAGTCGTCCCGACCGGCCAATTTGTCTTCTTTACTGGTCATCCAGTCATGTCTATAGAGACCGTTCGGTTATATGGTACAAATACTATATTTATAACGAAAAGAATATAAGTAAAGTCTAAAATACAAATAAGAAATAATTAAAAACTAACTAAAGATAAAAATAAGATATCTATATAAGATATCTAATAATATATCTAACAAGAATAATAAAGGTTTCACAAATTCGTAATTCGTGAGACTCTAACNTTTTCGAGCATGGGTCTAGGATTAGCGATGTTTTAATCTCGGCCCAATCCTGGTCCAGTACCCTTAAACGTGATTTACCTTAATCTCCTTAACATTAATCATTTACGCTTATGAGGCCAGTCGTCCCGACCGGCCAATTTGTCTTCTTTACTGGTCATCCAGTCATGTCTATAGAGACCGTTCGGTTATATGGTACAAATACTATATTTATAACGAAAAGAATATAAGTAAAGTCTAAAATACAAATAAGAAATAATTAAAAACTAACTAAAGATAAAAATAAGATATCTATATAAGATATCTAATAATATATCTAACAAGAATAATAAAGGTTTCACAAATTCGTAATTCGTGAGACTCTAACACTATTAGATTCTTTCTTCTACAAAATCATGATATACATACTACAAAAAGAAGGGATTATCAACAACCATAATTCGTCGGAAACAGCCAAATGTCGTCAACAATTCCCTATTATCAATGGCGTAGCGATGGTCATATATCCGTCGATAAATTTATTGTCGGTAACTATTACCGAGGACCTTTGTCCTTCGGTAATTATAGACATCTTATTCCTTCGGTAGTTACCGATGGGCAAAAACTCTCGGTGAGTACCGAATGACAAAAGCCCTCAGTAATTACCGAAGGGTAGAGGCTTTGTAGGAGATATTGGTTATATATATGGCTTGAAATTGATAAACACATCCATGTCTACCTTTTGTTTATAGAAAGAAACTTTTTTTTTTATAAAGAATGAAGTTAATATTGGCAATGTAAGAGACAAAAAAACACAAAGGAGCCTCTTAAGTAGTTAGATGTTGTGATTGTAGAAAAATAAACGTGACATACACTATGATAGTACTCTCAATTCACTATGGTGATTTTCATTTAACCTTGACAGTCTTTAAAAAGGTGAAAATAGAGCCTTGGTCAAAATATAAGTAATAAAAACTACAAACAAAATATCAACTACCTCAAAATAAAAAGAAATTATTTAATCTATCTCTATCTTATATCAACAAAATAAAATAATACTATACCTAAATAAATGAAAAATCAAAATTATTCGTCCTTATTTTTTCTCTATCATAACAAAATAGATATTACTAAACCCAAACTAATAAAATAAGACTCAAACAAAATTACTGTTGATAGGCGTAGCTCAACCTACCCTTTGTATCTATGTTTTTTATGATGAACAAAAGAATGATTTTATAGTTTCTTGCACAACAAATGGCATAACAATTGCTTTATGCTTATTGTGTTTGTGCTTGATATATCTGTTCATTATTTGTTAATGAATCATGATTTAAAATAGATTGAACATTTCATTATTGGAAGAAATAATCGGTTAAGCAATGTATATAATCTGTTAGATTTCTCCAGATCGCTTGTATGCTTAACAAGGGCAAACAACAGTGTAATAACTGATTACATAAGTTGTTTAATCGATTAAAGCACACTATTATGCCAATATATGTTTCATTAGTGTATTGATCTGTTTAGAATGGAAATTGATTTGAAAATTTGCTTGAGTGTTGACATAACCGATTACATAAGTTGCATAATCGGTTAAGTATGTTTCATTTGTCAAAATCAATTTCATTTAAAACCTGAATTGTTTCTAACGATCAAATAAAATTATGGTTGACTTGTGAGAATTATATAATCGATTGTATGTGCTGTATAATCTGTTAAAATCAAAATAGAAACAAACCTGAGAGAATCTATTAAAGCAGAAGGAAAAGCTTAACAAATTACATAAATTCTGTAATCAATTTATTGCGTTAAGATTGAGAAAATCCTATAAATAATTGTCTTACGCGCTACTTCAAACCAATTCCATTGCAATCAATTCCATAACTAACTATTTCATTGAGTTTTGATTACGAGAGCGTCCAAGAAGTGTCGTGAAGAATCAAGAATCAAATTTGGGTTTTACACATCAAGATTCTATCAAGAAAGTGAGCTGAATTGTTCTAATTGTATCGACAATATTGTAGTGTACATAGAAGATCAGTTTCAAAATTTACAATCTGTGGATTGCGTTCTTGTATAGGTGTGCTAGGGGAGAAACCCATGTGTGTTCTCATTGAGAGTTGGTATTGTTCTCAAGGTGTTAAGAGAGTTGTGATTGTTCTTTGTGTAGTAAGAGTGTGAGGGTGTTCACATCTTGTTTTGCTATAGGGATTGTGAGTGGGGTTAGAAGTACATTGAGAGGGGATATCTCATTATTCTTGTAACTCTATCATTATAATGGAATCCCTTCAACTTAAGCTGTTGAAGGAAGACTAGATGTAGGTTTGGCCGAACCAATATAAATTGACTGTGTTAATCTTTCTCTACCTTTTCTCTTTTATTGTTAATTCATAATTATTGTTTTATTGATTTCAAGAGAAACTAAATATTTTGCAAAAGCTTTTGAAAAGATAAATTTTTTAAGGAAAAATCAAATTCACCCCCTCTTGGTTTGAGATATAAGGCATCTCCTCTTTAATAGTTACTAATAAATCTCTAAAATTTATGTCTATCCTAACAAAAATCCCCCATAAACTTAATTTGTTCATCCTTTATTCGACCTTCCATGTGGATCACCCTGCATCAAGCTTACTTCTTTTAAATAGATTTGGATTCTTCATTTTCTTCCTGTTGGTCATGTTGTCATTCACCTTAACTAAACTCTTTAATGCTTTGGACGACTTGTTCTTTGTTTTGCCCATCTTCTCAATAACCTTGACCAACTCATTTTTTTACCTTAGGCGACTTCTCAACAATCTTGGCCGACTTCTTAATAATATTATCAGATATTTTACTCATCAAATTTTTTTGCTATCTCAATATCTGAGCTTCTCATACATGGTTTTTCTCAACATCTTCATCTTTCTCTTTCCCGTTTTCATTTGGTTCAAGAACATTAGATGATTCCTCCTCCTTGCCAACAACCATCTTTTTCAGCTCCTCAAGTTCAATCTGTTGTTGGTTTAAACCCTTTAATTGTCCCTATTTTTGTGGGTTTTTCCCATTTTGATCCCTTTTTTTGGAATTCCCAATTGAGTCCTTACAAGTGCTAATTTGAATCAATTGAACCCCTGCCGTTAAATTTACTTAACGGAGTTAAGTTTTTGAACAGGTGGGAGGTTGATGTGTCAATTTTCTAAAGTGTCACATGTTGAGAGTTGAAACGTAGCATGGTTTAGGCCTTTATGCGTGGAATTTGTTAAAATGTAATAATATAATATTAGGGAATTCTGAAATGGGATTTAGGGTTCAATGAAATAGAATTTGGGATTCAATTTGGGATTAGAAATCTGATAGGAGAGTGCAATGCGAAGTCGTTTAATGCGAAGTCCTAAATTGAATCCCAAGTGGTATTGAGGAAATTACTGGATGGCAACATAGTATTCAATTTCTGAATTTGTCTCAACCATCTGCAAGGTAGGTTACCAAATTCAATTGGGAGATTGAATTCACTTAAGAGTTTGGATTTTAGCTTCAACGAATTAGGCTCCAACATGCCAGAAGTGTTGGCAAATTTAACTTCATTGGAGATATTGAAGCTACAAGAAAATCACTTCACCAGTAAAATTCCAAACGGACTTCTCAAGTTGTTGAAGCTAAAGGAATTAAACGTATCTAACAATCATCTTGAAGTGGAAATTCCATAGGGCAAACCTTTGATTGACTTTCCTGAGAGTTCATATTCTGGAAATAAAGGGTTATGTGGAAAGTCTCTCGGTCCTTGTAAACTTTGAAAATTTTCAAGTGTAATGCTTACTTAAAGCTACTCTCACCATCATTCAGAAACATGATTTTCAGGTTGATACATAACCAAAAAACTGAGCATTCACAGATTTCACCAGGAAAGGGATAGATACATCTCTTATTTCATTCATTCCTTTTTTTTTAATTTAGAAATAGAAACTTAAGACAAGGATTGGATTTCTGTGACAGTTTAAGATCCTGAATTCACAATGTATCATCTCCACTAAGGACTTCGCGT